TATTAACCCTCCACATGTTTAATGTTAAATATATTAACCCTCCACATGTGTAATGTTAAATATATTAAACTCTCTACAGGTTTAATGTTAAATATATTAACCCTCCACATGGTTAATGTTAAATATATTCACTCTCCACACGTCATTCACCAGGCAGGATGTTGCATCATGTACTTTAAAAGTCTAACTTTATGTTATGTCATGTTTAACACGCCTGTGTCTGTGTCAGTCTGGTGTTAGCTTTAGCATCAGCTAGCTGAGCCGTGAATGAACCAGGCCGCCGGTGAAACCCAGCAGCCCGGTTCTGTTGACCCAGCCCCGGTGAGCAGCACTGTTAGGTGAAGCTAACGGTGACACCGGTAGGGAGTGGGCTGTTAGGGTCACTTCTTCCCGGCCTGGTTAGTTCCTTCCCTGCGGTAAACACATGAWGCTAGCCGCATGCTAACAGAACCGGAGCACTAACCTGCTCTTTGCTCGCCTTCTCAGATTTTAACTTCCGGACCACTTCTCCTTGGACTTTAATGGCCTCTTGTATCTGTGTCGTGTTCTCCATGGCTTCTCATTAGGTTGTGTCGTTAATTTCACCCAGAGCCGGCCGAAGCTGATTCTGGAGCTGCTGTCGACATGGACGGCGGAAGTGCGAACACAGATGACTTCCTGTCTGAATTTTCAAAGTAAAATCAGCATGTTACAGATGGCTTACTCTTATTTTTAGTTTTTAGTTTTGCATATTAATTGTATATAAAACCCATATCATGACAATAACATTTGAATATATTATCTCGAACTATTTTTAYTTGTACTTTTTAGTTTTTCAGAATTTTTAGAATTAAGTTGTAGTTCCAGTAAAGTCCACCAGATGACAGTGTTTGTTTCACCAACCACATTTATGACCCATCCAAGGGAGGTTCTGTAGAACAGTTATATATTCTGTGGAGTTTATGGACCCATCACATGGAAAGGAGGATTAAATCTAAAAGTGGGATATGGTGAAAAAGGCAAATATAGAGTTTAGATTAAAATGTTTACAAAAATTTCATTTTGTCAAAACATAATTAATAAAAACCTTATCAATGTATCATGTGAATAAATGTTCTGAAATATAATAATAAAAAAAATTTGAAGCACTTTTTTGAGCCGTAGCAACAGAAAACCTGATTTAGAGCAAAACATCTTACGATTTTCTGGTTTTTCCTGTGAGCTAGAAAAGCTTTTGTTTCTTTCCAACTGGGAAATCTCAATATTTAAATACTATTTAAAGTTTCCTCTTTATAATGACAGCAAAAATTCTGCATTTAATTACATAAAATTAGGATTCAGACCAAATGTTATTGTTTTATTGTAACCAACAAGACAAAGTAGGTCATATGTATGGACATACTGATGATATCAGAAAGATCAGTAAATTCAACACTTCATCTCTTACAGTGTGTAAAAGTACTTCAGCTTCAGCTGCAAAGCTGAGAGAAGCCAGGAGGAYGACTTTTACACAGATCAAAGCCCAACATCAGCACAGGACTTTAAACTGGTCCTGTTCAAACAGACTGGAGAGAAAACACATCCAAAGTCCAGCAGAGCGCTGATCGGGCCTGACTTCATCCAGCTGTGAGTATCTCTGCAGGAAACAGTTCTGTTCAAGAACGAGAGTTAGATCAGAGCCCTCTGTGAACACTTTCATCAGATCTCTGACTCAAACTACTGACAGGTAAAACCAGCAGGCAGACAAACCTGATGATYGTGTTGTAATTCAGTCTTAGTGAAATGTTTTGTGTCTGTAGGAAATAATCTGCAGGTTGAGCTTTGAAAAGACCAGCTTCATGTTTTATATCCTGTCTTTATCTAACTGTGCTGAGAAGTCTGTGAATGTTTAAACATGGCTTTATGTGTCAGATCTGCTCTGAGCCACTGCAGCATGAATTAAAGAGCTGATTTGAATAAATCTGCTTGGTCAAACAGGAAGAACAAACCTGTCTGCATCAGTTCCACTGAACTTTAAATTTACTGTTGATTCTAAAAATCCTCTCAAATATTGTAAATCGGTTATTTTACAGTGTAGCTCTGTCACATTCAAAGCTTAACATCTTTGTGCTTAATGAACATGTGTGTCTGTCACACTGGTGACTTTGGGATCAAACTTTGATTGACACCTGTCAAAGCAGACTTTGATGAGAGCTGAGGTATCACTTCTCTGTTATTCATGAAAAGTTAACAATTTTTATAAAGTTTTGGGTATTTTACCATTTATTATTAATATTTTATCAATCCTTGTATGAAACGTGATTTAGGTGAAATAAAGCAACATCGTAAATCATGAATGTTTCACCTGCTTCAGATGTTATCATCCATGAAACGGACATTATTAGGCATTATCAGTCCCATAGAATGGCTCCAGAATGTCCCACCTGTGCCGGTTAACAGGTTCCCCGTCCCATAGAATGGCTTCTGRTTGTCAGCTGGTTAGTATGAGGCATAAAACCACTATCTGGTTAGTATGAGGCATTAAAAAACTGGTTAATATGAGGCATAAAACCACTATCTGGTTAATATGAGGTATAAAACTACTAAGTTTAACTTTAGAGCAAATGACATGGTTAGCACTAAAGACACCGCCCTCCAATGGTTGTGTATTGTGGCCTTCCAAAAGGGCAATGGGTAGAGTGTCGGACCAGAGTGCAGGAGACCAGCATGGACACAAAAAAATTATTACAATATCTTTTGGTTATTTACACATTCATTGTCATTGATATATTAACCCACTAGGAGGCACTGTTGGGACAGTCTGAAGCCTAGAAGGCACAGTAGGGACCCTCTGAAGCCATTGTATGGGACTGATAACGCCTAATAACATCCATTATGTGGACTGATAACATCAGAATCCCATAAATTTTTCAAAAGCATAAAAATAAAGTTTTTTTATAAAGCTCTGTAATACTGTACATTGTGCTGATTTTATTTGGATTCATTGATTTATACATCTGAGTAAATCTGTTTTCAGGAGTTGTGATTGTAATATTGAGTAAAATAAACATGTTTCTCGTTTGTTTCATAACTGAGCAGCTTTAGTTCACTTCATCTTTGGCCAAAGAAAAATGCATGTGAGGCAAATACTGTTTATYTTTCCTTCTGTCTTCATGCAGACGTGTTAAAGATGTGGTAAAATGACTGTTTTGTTGATAGATTCTGACCACCATGGAGCTGTCGCCCCCACCCCCAGGTCTACAAGCTGAGTACTCAACACTKTTCACTTCTGGCTCCCTCCAGTTCCTGCAGGAGCTGATCTCCACCTTCGATGAGCAGGTGGACCAGGTAATGGGTCTTTTTATTTAAAAAAAGGTAAATGTAAAGAGAATGACGGCAGATTATTTTATGGTTCTTTAGATCTTGCAGCTGAGAGTTTCCAGAAAGGCTCAACTGGATCTTTCAGGTGACTTGCCAAACTTCTTGGAAGCCACTGAACACATCCGGTCTGACCCGACCTGGAGGGTGCTCCCCGTGCCCCCCAGGCTCCAGAGAAGGCATGTGGACATCGGAGACATGGCCCCCTGTGATACTGAGCGCTTCRTTCTGGCTCTGCAGTCCTCAGCACAAGGCATACAGGTACTCCCACAGACCCACACCTGTTTTACTTCCTGCTTCATTTCAACAGGAGACAGTCTCCATGTTGGAGCAGATTTGAGTCTGTTGTTMATCATCAGTTACAAGCTTCATGTGTTGAAATCAGGGGCAGTTCTAGGGGCGGAGCCACGGGGGCTTTGGCCCCAGCTGAAATCTTATTGGTCCCCTGAAGTGCCCCTGTCCTGCCACTCATCTGTCTGTTGCCCCAGAGCAGAGATTCTTAACCCATGGGCCGCGGCCAGCGCCACCTTGAGGGCCTAAAAAGAACAACAATTTTTAACTTTGGGCCACAGAGGGCCGTGGGACC